TGGTATGCCATATAAATAAGCTTGCGATAGACATTGGGTGACGTTGGGTGATGTGCAATCATTTATATCACCCAACAATATACCCAATAGCAGTATGCCTACTAACAAAATATCCCTGCCAATGAGAGTACTCTACACTCTCTGGGCAATTTCAGAAGAGATAATGGACCAACATCAGCAAGTTTCTCTGCTGCCTGTCCTACTATATATGCTTGCACTGAATGAGGTGAATGGGAACATAGTGTTAATGTGTAAACAGAGCCAGCTGACCCAGCAGCAGCCTTCTCCCTGTGTCCTGGAGGCTGGAGCCCAGTATGATCAGACAGAAAGCCAAGCCTCCCTCTGTCTACGTCACCAGTCACAGGTGCTCTGCCAGCTTGCAGGACCATGTCAGGCTGCCAAGATGCCATCCCATGTGCCAGCTGCTGAGGGACCTGCATGACTCCGCTCACTGCTAGTCAAATGTCAGCCTACAGCTGCCGGGGAACAGAGTGGGAAGTGCAGTCTGTATCTGTACTGTAACTCAAACACTGTCAGCATCAGCCACTAATGTGTTCTTTAACCATCAGTGTAGAATAACAACCATCTGGCTGCTGTACACAACCATGACTGGAGTAGTGCAGGGAAGGAGGTATGATTAGAGAGTGATAAGGAATACATGAATAATGTGTAGATGGTATAACAAATGTGTAACGAATGGAAATGTTCCAGCACCAATAGCTGAACTTCCCGAAAGCCTGACACTTCTAATTTTGATATCTTTCAAATTGATGACTTTATCTGACGAGGATTCCAGTGGAGATTTACATTTTGTCCATTTGTGTGTCTGTCTAACACGTGAATCACAGTTGGGAATTGCAGATATTTCTGCTTTTTCTGTCCAGCACCTGAACAAGTGAAATATATTATCTGTCATCAAACATTTACATTTTATTTTTTATTGTTTTATTTATCCTTTATTTAACTAGGCAAGTCAGTTAAGAACAAATTCTTATTTACAATGACGGCCTACACTGGCCAAACCCGGACGACGCTGGGCCAATTGTGAGCCGCCCTATGGGACTCCCAATCACGGCCGGTTGTGATACAGCCTGGAATCGAACCAGGGGGTCTGTAGTGACGCCTCAAGCACTGAGATGCTGCGACACTCGGGTGCCCAAATAAACACCATCACAAGGAAGAAGAGTCCCTTAGCACATTAGAGAAAGGAAACAGCCTGTGAACCAAGTCTTACCCCAATTTCTCATAGAAATTTGGGATGTTAACTTGTGTGCATTCCTCACGCTCTCCTCATCTATTAAATGTAAAAACGAAACATATTAACCTTTTCAGCTCAGCTTGTAATTCTCTATCATTTTCCTTATTGTTAGATGCATTGTTCCCACTTCCCAGAGTCTTCTCTGGTAAACAGTTACTATTGTATAGGTGGAGAAGTACATTGGACCTAGTTACCTTTACAGCAACATACAGCACATCATGACAAAACACAAGCAAAAGGGTAGTGAGTTAAACTTTAAGAGATGCTTCCTAACCTAAGGCTGATAATGTGTGTGTGTGTGTGTGTGTGCGTATAGTCATCTGTTGATTGAACATGCAGATCTTTGAGGATGTGTGTGTTTTCAATCAATGCAATTCTGAGTACATGGACTCTGGTTTACCAATCAGGCAAAATAAATATTGTATTAAGGAATTTAGGAACAAACTGTAGTAAAAAGAAAAAAATTGAAGGTGACAGGGTTTTGGTAACATGCACACAAATGTAAATGCATACTTGATCATACACCATGAACACAGTCGTGGTTATTCAAATTCTACATAGCCAAGCATTCTAATCTGTTGTCAGAAACATGGTAAACTGCTTCAAGCACAAGTTGTGTGTTTCGCATTCCCATATTCTGTCAACATAGAGCAACAGTAATCCTCAAATATGTGTACGTGGCACTATGTTTGCATTAAACTGCACCTCAGTGTCAAAACGGCAGGTTATTTATCAGTCCTTATAGCCTGCTGTGCCTTGATAGGAAAACTTCAGACTGTATGACACTTAATGTAGGTCACAGCTGTTTTTACTGTGCACTAAGAACAGTCAAACAGTCACAGGTATGGAGAGTCATGAGGTTGGAGAGTCATGTGTTGAGTACATTTCATCTGTCTTTCTTGGAAAGTCTGCTAGCTAAGCAGAGCTACTCTAGGTCACTCAGACAGCACTGCTAGAGGCTGGAGCCAGCCTGAGCTTAACTACTCAAATCAAAATGTATTTGTCAAATGCGCCGAATACAACAGGTGTAGACTTTACCATGAAATGCTTAATTTACGAGCCCTTTCCCAACAATGCAGAGTTAAAAAGTAAGAAAATTTGCAAATAAAAATAGAAAATAGTAACACAATAAATAACAATAATGAGGCTATATATACTGAACAAAAATATAAACACAACATGCAACAATTTCAAAGATCTTACTGAGTTACTGTCACGACTTCCTCCGAAGCTGCCTCCTTTCCTTGTTCGGGCAGTTTTCGGCGTTCGTCGTCACCGGCCTTCTAGCCACTGCCACTCCTCATCTCATCATTCCATTTGTTTTGTCTTGTTTATTACACACACCTGGTTCATATCCCCTCATCAGTACCTGTATAAGTGTTCCCTCTGCCCCCTTGTCTTTGTGTGTGATTGTTTATTGTGGAGGTTAGAGAAGCCCGTGGAGCTCCTTGTGTTTTGTATCGCTGGGATAATTCCCTGTGTGCCTTGTAGTTTCCAGTGCGCCTGTTACTGCGTAACTCTGTGTTTCAGAATAAATCCTGTTATTCTGTGATTTACCCTCCTGCGCCTGACTCCTTCGAAATCACTCATCACAGTTACAGTTCATATGAGGAAATAAATTCATTAGGCCCTAATCTATGGATTTTACATGACTTGGAATACAGATATGCATTAGTTGGTCACAGATACCTTTAAAAAAATGGGTCTCACAATGGGCCTCAGGATCTCGTCACGGTATTTCTGTGCATTCAAATTGCCATTGATAAAATGCAATTGTGTTCGTTGTGCATAGCTTATGTCTACCCATACCATAACCCCACCTCCACCATAGGGCAGTCTGTTCACAACGTTGTCATCAGCAAACCGCTCGCCCACACGACGCCATACACGTGGCCTGCGGTTGTGAGGCCAGTTGGACGTACTGCCAAATTCTCTAAAACAACGTTGGTAGAGAAATGAACATTACATTCTCTGGCAACAGCTCTGATGGACATTCCTGCAATCAGCATGCCAATTGCATGCACCCTTAAAACTTGAGACATCTCTGGCATTGTGTTGTGTGACAAAACTGCATGTTTTAGAGTGGCCTTTTATTGTCCCCAGCACAAGGTGCACCTGTGTAATGATTATGTAGTTTAATCAGCTTCTTGATATGCCACACCTGTCAGGTGGATGGATTATCTTGGCAAAGGAGAAATGCTCACTAACAGGAGAAATACGCTTTTTGTGCGTATGAAACATTTCTGGGATCTTATTTCAGCTCATAAAACATGGGACCAACACTTTACATGTTGCGTTTATATTTTTGTTCAGTGTAGAAGGAGTACCGGTACCAAGTCAATGTGCAGGAGTACGAGGTAGTTGAGGTAATATGCACATGTAGGTAGGGGTAAAAGTGACTAGGCAATCAGAATAGATAATAAACAGAAGCAGCAGTGTATGTAAAGAGTGTGAATGTGTGCATGTGTGTGTGTGTGTGGCGTCAATATGCATGTGTGTGTGTGTGTGTGTGTGTGTTTTGTGTGTGTGTGTGAGCGTATATAGTATGTGTGTGTTTGTGTGTTGGCGTGTGAGTGTGTGGGTGGAGTCCAGTGAGTGTGCTCCAACTGTCCATGAGTATTAGAGTGAGATGCATCACAGCAGGCTGGACCAGCCATTACCTGGCTAGCGAAGGAGAAAGAGACACTTGGGCCTCTCTGCCCTTCCCCTGACTTCCCAGCCTCTGGCGTAGCTGCATACTGGATGTAGGATAGACATGGGTTTGAAGTTTGACGGCCACTCTAACTGCACAACAGTTGATGTCAGAAAGGTGTGTGTGTGTGTGTGTGTGTGTGTGTGTGTGTGTGTGTGTGTGTGTGTGTGTGTGTGTGTGTGTGTGTGTGTGTGTGTGTGTGTGTGTGTGTGTGTGTGTGTGTGTGTGTGTGTGTGTGTGTGTGTGTGCAGCCTAGCGGTTAAGATCGTTGGGCCAGTAACCGAAAGGTCGCTGGTTTGTATCCCTGAGCCGACTAGGTGAAAAATCTGTCAATGTGCCCTTGAGCAAGGCACTTAACCCTAATTGCTCTTGTAAGTCGCTCTGGATAAGACTGTTTGCTAAATGACTCAAATTTAAACATTTAAATTTATCCAGGTACTGTGTAATTACCGGAGGCTGAACTGGCCAGTGCTTATCTGAATTAGAATGAACATACATGGACCGTAGTACCTTCAGGCTTGGGCTCCATCAAAGCTTGATACCAGGCAGGCACTTAGTCCTTATCTGGACTGCAGCAGCAGAGTGTGTGTGGGAAAGCAGGCATAGCATGTTTCAGACAAAGTGGTGAAGATGTCAAATGTAATTTTAGCTTGGCCGGCTCCCTGGTTTTTATAAACACCAATAGTTTATAAGACATATTTTCAGAGGTTTTGTATTATTCAAATGGTCTCATCTGATTTGAAAACATTTCAGTCTAGCAGTTGTTGAAGGTTTTCCTATAAGAAGATGTTTTCATTGTCAGAAAATAAGTTATATGAGTCAGAAGCTTGGTTTTCCTGGGCACACTGCTATCTACTCCTGCTTTTCTGAAAGATAGTAACAATAGCTCGTAAAAGAGTACTCGAGAAGAGTGAGATTAACAACACAAGGGAACGTTGCCTAGAGAGAACCAGCAGGTGTATTTATCACAGCTCTGTCAATCAACTCCTGGCTGCATTTCAAATGAAGCACTTTTCTTTCGTCTCCTAAGGAACGCTTTTGGTTGAGGATATGCAAATCCAAGGCCGAGCGGAAGACCCAGGCAGAACCATCTCTCTCTCCCTCCGAGACAACTACAACCACTGGGTAATTCTGGACCCGGTCAGACAGAGACTCTACCTCAACAGCACCGGCAGGGCCCTCGACCGAGATGTAAGTATTCACACACTATGACTATTCATATGTTTCTCTGTGGGGTTTGGGTTCCTCTAAAAAAACAGTAGACTGCAGGTTAGCTATACGTTTACATTCCCTTAATATACATCCTGCGGTAAAATAAGCTCCACAGCATACTGTAAGCAACAAACCTATCCATTCTTGAAAGAAAAGTACTGCACATGCACTGAACTGTACACTTTGAACAGTGCACTGGATAAAAGGTTTGGCTAAATGGTATATGTTATGTTCCAGTTTTAGAGTAGTTTATGATAATTGCAGAGATTAAAAGGTGGAAAAACAAAGCATATGTCTGATCTGAAGCATAACTTTCTTTACATGTTCTACACATCAATCCCAGTCATGTTCTTCAATGTAAACCAGTTGAAAGGAGACTAATGACTCTCTGTCCCCTGCTGTCCTTGGTTCCTTCTGAAACAATACTTCTTCCTTCCTTTTAGCCCCCCTCCTACATCCATTCCATCGTGGTCCAGGTTCAGTGCACCAACGAACTGGTCGGGAGCATCATTCTACACGAGGTGCGCATCGTTGTGAGGGATCGCAATGACAACGCGCCCCAGTTCCAGAAGCCTCGTTACTATGTCGCCATAAATGAGGTGAGACCCCCGGGACAGCCTAGTTAAATATTTTATTACTATCCAAGACGATGTGTCTGACTCTAGCTCTGAGTTCACAGGCCACCAGTGAGCAGTATCTCATTACTTAGTATTGAATATTTCAGTCTGTTCAACTTGAATAGGGCCATACATTTTGGGAAAGGCTGTAAAAATTTGAAATATTAGCCATTGCTCAGTGACTGTGGACTGGTAGGTACCGGTAATAACTTCAAATCTAATTATATATATGGAGCTTTTTTGACTGTTAGAAAAGAGACTAAGACTGGTCATTAAAATGACTGTAACGATAGCTACTGTAGGATCTTCCCATATCTTATTCTGCTGATTCTTTGTGTGGTTTAACAATGGTGGCCCATCCCACCCCTGGTACTGCATGGGTCTCTGTGGTTTAACAGTGGGACCTCCATGGGTCTTTATGTGGTTTAAAAGTGGGACCTCCATGGGTCTATGTGGTTTGACAGTGGGACCTTCATGGGTCTCTATGTGGTTTAACAAGACATTCTCGATGGGCTCTGGGCATAGAGGGCCATAGAGCGGCTGGTGTCCCACTGAGGTGTCACACCAGGGTCCAAAGTAGCTACATGGTGATTTTGCAGCTTTTCCCTAATTGAAAAAGGGTCCCCTGAGTGTCGCCGTGGTAGATTGAGCTCATTAGCAAGCAGCCTTGCAGAGTAGCAGACATAGAAGACAGCCCCTTCAGAAGCTTCTGGAAATGGTTGCTTTCATTATTCTGATCTATAGATTTATTTTCACAGAGTTTGAAATGTTGGTAACACTTCATTTAGATAGTTCATTTGTAGATGCTCTACAGACTATCAGTAACATTTCAACTAACTATCTACTAACCCTAACCCTAGCTCTAACCCTAACCTTAACCCTTACCCTAGCCCTAACCCTAAACCTAACCCTAACCCTAACCATAACCCAAATAGTTGCTTATCAACAGATAGTTTGTTGACAGTATGACCATCTGTAGAGTATCTACAGGTTGAAAATCCAGACTATCCAAACAAAGTGTGACCGAAATGTTCAACTGACACAGAGATAAGGGGTCCAATAGAATGTAGTCTCCTGTCCATCAGTCAACTGTTTAAGCCCACATAGTGGAGATCGACAGGGCTGTCAAAGCGGAGAGATATAGATAATGACAGTTAGAGTTATTCACTGTTGAGAGAAGTATGCTGTTGAGCTAAAGACATCTGGTAATGTGAGATCTTGACTGCATAAAGTGGACATACTTGGCATTACAGTACTATATGTCATACAGTATCTGGAGATTTGCATGTATTCCAACCTTCTGCTCAAGTTGCAAGTGGGATGATGGGGAGTTAGTGAATGCCAATCATGCTTAGCTAGCTGTATGCTCTTGTGAGACCTTGACCCTGTTTAAAAATGCCATTAAGTACATCTTTACCTGAGACTGGGATCAAGAGTTATAGTCAAGGCTGAATCACTCACACTTGTTAATCAGGCACTTACAGTCTTCAGATGACAGCTCTAGATATACCTTAACCTTTCAACACCTTGTTATCTCATATGGGGAGAATATTTTGGCCTCTCCTTGTGTATCCCAATAAATACACTACTAAGACATGCAGTAATCCGCAAACACTTAACCCCTCAGTTGTTAGATATCTCCCCTGCCATATATTGGTTATTAAATGCACTGTACACTTCTTTGTACTACATTAATTAATTAATTACAACGGCCTTCATGCATACAGTCTGTTACACAATGTTTATCATTGAGGTGCTGATGTGCAGACTAAGGAACGTGAAGGAGTGATGTGCTCCCAGAGGTGTGGCTGGGCGGCACGGGGAGAGCCTTTCATCCCAATGAGGACAGACACCACGATTCATCATGGTGTCTGTCCTAAATAATGTTAGCTCCTAAATAATGCATGTATTTCTGCGGCTAACAAAATTGCAGAATGGATGGGTTGTATGGCTGTTCCTATTCTGTCGAAGACGACAGAGGAGATTTAGATTTTGCCAATGGGAAACATGAAATCGTGCCTCTACTTTTCATTACAGCACGTCTTTAGAAATAACATTTGGGGTCCCTGCTGTGGGTTTCTATTACTTTTCGCCTATTCGGGTCAGTGAAAACATTTTACAGTACCAGTCAAACCATACCTAATGTCAGAAGTGTTTCGCTGAACTCCTATCATCCTCTTGTATCTGACATCTTTTGTGTGTTCATGTTCCTGAAAAGTTTTGACAGATATAAGAGCAGCAGAGTAGCATTTCAGGAGCTAAAATACCCAGGTTTCCTTGGTGCTGCCAACAGGCACTAGACTATTACCTTCTCTTCTCACATCTGATAGAGGTCCACTGTGGGGCTCAGGTATGACAGCTGAAAGGAAGCATTCTAGTGCTGTGAATCACTAGCCCCTCTCAGAAGACCAAGAACAAGGCTTTGTTGGTGATTGGCTGAGCTAGCCACCTCAGAATGCAACAGGGATTATGTTGTTGCGCAACCAGTCACTTCAGACCTAACTAATCCTGTTTTCACTGCAATATGCTTGTCTGTAAACAAATCAACATCATGTTGGTTAGCGATTTGGGAAAAATTGAAACAGTTATGTATCACAATATTATAATGGCCGATATTATCTTCACTTTTGTTTTTTTTGCTAGGTAGCGTTAGCTAGCGCTATTGTCGACTGTACCTGCGACAAAACTCCAGTATTTTTCATCCTAAAGCTTGTTCTCCATCTTCTTTTTAAATAGTGATCCAATATTGTTTTCAGCACTTTTGTTTCCATGACTGATCAAAACTAATTTTCTCATGCTCTCTCTTGTCTCTCTGCAGCAGACATACAGCAATATGTTTGGAATGTCAAATCGCAATAAATTTGCAGTATCGAATCACAATACATATAGAATCGTGAGAATTGCAATACAATAGTAAGGTCCCTGGCAATTCCCAGCCCTAATGTTGGTTTAGCCCTTACTGTATGTCACACTCAGAATGGCTGGTCGCTTAGCACATGAAAACTGACACTTGCATCTGTTTCAAGTGTGTAGAGACTTCTTTTTATAGTTTGGATCGTTAGCACTGTTATAACGATGCAATAATGTTGTCTTACAGTTGACCCCAGTTGGCACCACCATCTTCTCCGGCTTCACTGGGAATAATGGAGCTCTGGACATTGATGATGGCCCAAACGGACAGATCGAATACATCATCCAGTACAACCCAACTGACCCGGTATGTTACATCTCAACACTTACTGACTGACACATCCAATCTGATTCTCTTTAAACCCACAACTGATGGCAATCACACTGCACAGCCTAAAAAGATTGCTAGAGATATTAGATTATTACCGTATTACTCATATCATAGGTAGGGGTCCCAAAGCCACAAATGTACTGTTGAGGCAATCTCTACACCAGAGATCTCTGCACCCGCTCTGGCAGACAATGAGTGAGGCGAGGGGGAGCTTTTCTAAGTGGAGTGCACTCTTAACCCAGCGTACTGTATCTCTTTGTGTCGCAGATGGCCAACAGGACGTTTGACATCCCTCTCACCCTTTCTGGCTCAATGGTCCTGAGGGAGAGGCTCAACTATGAGGAGATCACTCGCTACCTGGTCATCATCCAGGCTAATGTAAGTCTGTCTGTCTGTCTGTCTTTCTTTATGGCTATCTAGTCATGAAAGTCTGTGCTTGTGTCTGGAATGGACCCTATTCGCAATATAGTGCACTACTTTTGGCCAGGGCCTGTCTGTCTGGGGTAAGCGATGGACTCACCAAACACTGGAGCACTTACATGGGTACAAGACTGTACAATGTGTTTTTTTGAATAGGGTAGAAAACCTTGAAGGAAAACGTTGGACCACTTTGTAAATGCATGTTCTTTTGAAAAAGAAGAACAACTTTTTCAGTTAAAAAATATCTTCTTTTCTTTCACATACTAGATGTCCAGGCAAGAATGGTAAACGGAGTACAGAATATACAGAATAATCCATTAAATTATGACTCAGTCAAGGTATTCCTCTGGAATGGAAAGGTGTCATTCATTACCAGAATGTTACCAAAATGTGGCATATATTTTCAATGCAAGTGCGTTCCAGCCTCAAATGAATACAATACAGAATGTTTTTGAAAATACAGAAAGGATGTTGCACTTAAGATAGAATCGCGTTGTTCCACCAATTAGGTGCCTTTTAGGTGAGTGGCAAGGCCTACACATTTTTTAGATACCCCTGCCCGAGGTAGAACAAAACACAACCATGTTTTTTCACATCTCTAATGTCTCACATTTATGAAATGGATGGTGGTGTAAAAATATTTTACTGCAAAAGTGGTTAAATGTATAGATATTGTGACACACCGCCTAAACTCAAAAAGTGCAGAATAATGCCTGGCTGGAGGGGGGATGGGCTGCATAAGCTCATGTAACCCAATATTGCAAGCTCTGATATTGCAAAAATGTAGAATACAAATAGTCAGTTGTCTGCCCTACATACACAAAACAACAGCATTAGGTTATATTAATGCATCTTGGAAATATAGACCTGTAAACACAGAGATACAATATGAAGAAATATCAACTATGAATATTTATGATGAATGTAAGCTTTACTTTTTGGTGGATGATTAATTGACAACTTTACAAGTCATGGTCCTGCCTGAAAAGAATACATACACACTAAGGAAAGAGGGTTCCTCAAGGGTTCTTTGGGAAGGGTGAAGGTTCTATGTGGAAACCACAGGAGGTTGGTGGCACCTTAATTGGGGAGGATGGGCTCGTGGTAATGATTGGAGTGGAATCAGTGGAATGCTATCAAATACATCAAACACATGGTTTTCATGTGCTTGATGCCATTCCATTTGCCCCGTTCCGGCCATTATTATAAGCCATTCTCCCCTTAGCAGCCTCCACTGGTGGAAACATAATGACTCAAAGAACCCTTTGAGCCCTTTGATTGTCCTTTGCAGTTCACAAAATAGTTATTTACTCTTTTAGTGATAATTAAAATGTAGGGATGGCAGCTCATTCGAATATTTTGAGACGTGGTTTGCACACATCTCTTTTTGTGAGAGTATCATTCCAGTTTATCTAATCTGTTGTGTAATGCCATAACATGTTATATATGACCATGGCCAGTGATGGTGTCTTGTGAAAGAGTAATGTATGGCCTTGATTAATGTGTCAATTTAGAACGGTTGACTAAATCAGTGGTTCTCAATTCTCTCCTCAGGGACCCTTAGCCATTCCAGAGCTAGCAACCTGATTCAACTTGTTAATAAACACAATAATAACACCCATGTAATTTTAACAATATAATATGTCTACCTAGAATACAAAAAGGATCTACAAAGAACCTTTGAGATTGAGAAAAGTTTCTTTATAGAACCATTCTCCATAAAGGTTATATAAAGAACCATAAAAAGGGTTATATATAGACTAAAAAAAGGTTGTAACCATAGTGGAACCCTTTTTTGGTGCTATATAGAACCTTTTTTTAATGGTTCTTTATAGAACCTTAGGAAAGGGTTATTTATAGCACCATACAGGTTCCATTTAGAACCTTATGATCATGGTTCTTTATAGAACTTTCAAAAAAAGTTTCTATATAGCACCAACAAGGCATCCACTATGGCTACAAGCCAAAGAACCCTTTTGGCACTATATAAAACCATTTGTTTTCAGTGTGTACAGTTACACATCTTTTGATGTTGTGGCTCTAAGGAAAACAAGTGGGCTCAGACATAGAAATTACACTTTTGGGGTCCAAGGTTCCTTTATCCCTTACTCTTGTAATTTAGTCAGGGGGCTACCACAGATTATCTTTAGGGCCACCCTGGATTTTGCCCAAAATCCATTAAGGCTGCCATAATACCATTTGATGGAGGTCAAATCACGTGTAAATATGAATTTTGTAGAACAGAAGCATTTTTTTCAGAATTGTGTACAGCACTCATGCCCTTAAAGACTGTGTTGGGGTAAATCAATTTTATTCTGAATCCAATATGGCCAACATAATTACACTCAAACACCTACGCCTGCATATAAATTGCCCTGGTTTAGTTTGTATTGTGTTATTCTGTCTTTAACACTAGAACTGCTGGGCCTCGACAGACCCCCCTTTAAGCTAATGAGCAGTCATTCTGACTCAAACATTCTAACAGTCTAATTAATACATTTCATATATGCTGTCGCACAAATAATTGTTTGGTTGTGTTTATGAAGGCCTTGGGTAACATTAGAATACTTTTAAAAATTATTTCAAATAACACAATAGCATTTTCATTAGTTTATGTTACTGTAGGCTATATGTAAAAACACAGGAAAACACAGAAAATACACAACAATTCAAGTGTTCAATAAATGTTATTTGTGGAGTGCCTTTGTTACAACTATGAAACAGAGACCATATGTGTTGGAACACGGTAACAGCTTATTTTTATAAAGACAACATACAAATAAAATACCCCAACCACCAAGACGCATGGTCAAATAATGAAAACATCAGTAGGCTAAACATCATTATAATCGCTAAACATCATTATAATCGCTAAACATCATTATAATCGCTAAACATCATTATAATCGCCAAGTGGCCTTGATAAATAGTGAAGCACAAAAGCAATAATGGTCAATTATTGTCAGCTGGTGCTTTTGTGTGTCAGTTGGATTTCATTTAGCTGTTAGCCCTTGTCCTAACAGTTGACACAATGTCGCAAGTGTAGAGAGGAGTAGGCAGGAGGCAGTCGCAGGTTTAGAACTACTGAATTTATTAAAGCACCATAGCTTAAAGCGGGACAAAACCCACAGTGCAAAAATATAAAGTACTCAGGAAATAGTAGGAGAGATTATTCTCAGGAAAACAAGCAACATATACAATGACCGACAAAGACAAATGACAGAGGGAGTATATATACAGTGATAGAGTGGGGATTGGAACCAGGTGTGTGTAATGATGACGAGAACAGTCCGGGGTTGATGAGTGAAGGGCGTTTGCCAGCAGTAGGTTCGGCAGCAGCTAGAAGGCCGGCGACGCCGAATGCCTGAGCTGGACAGGAGGGGGCGCCAAAGCGAAGGCTGGTGTGACACACACTTTCCATAACTTTCAGTGGCTTGACACACTTTGACAAACCTTTGTTTGGTTGTAGTGTGTAATAGTCTCCCGTTCTTTCTTTATTGTGTCCCGTTGTCTTGTCATTCTTCAGCACTGTTGTAGAGTACAATGGCTGTGCAGGTGCCTTACTTTGCGCAAAGGGAGGAGCTCCCATCTCACTTTGTTCATGGTGCAGGCCACACTTGTTTTCTTTGCAAGCAACTTGTTCACCAATGTCCATGGTGATATCTCTCCCCTTGCCAACTTAAGGTTCCACAAGCCTCATCACCACATTCTCTGACACTCGCTCACCTGCTGCCCGATGTGGATGTTTTCCCAGATATTGAAAGCCATTCAGCATGTACAATTACACACACTCTCACTGTGTAGCCTACTCCAAGTAGGACAGAGTAGACAGATAATACTGCTTTGGTTTGGTGGACTGATACACATGGTACATAACATTTTGAGGTTATAATTAGAATGGATCAATACATTCTTCATTCACAATTGGTGATTACATTATTATGCATAGTTAGCTTCCCCTTGCTTATCAACTCATCCATTCTCCCCATCATACTTTACTTTTATTTCATCTGTTGTTATATGTGTGAAATTAGTGTCAGTATAGTTTAGGTTCAGTTTCGACGCAATTATCAGGGTGATTATTAACTATCGGGAGAAGGAGCGGAGCAGGCCCTACTCTCGGGAGAAGGAGGGGCAATGGGGGAAAACCATAAAACAATGACATGCCCTCCTAAAACAGTTTATAACTCCAGTTCTGTTTGTGAATAAATAAATAATGAGTGGTCAAAAATGACTGCTTTAGCGGTTCTAGTGTTAAAAGGGTTTCATACGGCTCTTGGTATGTCTATGAGTGGCAATGCCATGTCTCTGTTGTGTTTGAATAGCTGAAGCCAACTAGCTTTTAAATGTGTGTTCATGTTTTTCACGACATAAGCACACAGTAGTGTAACCAAGTTACAGGAAAGCAACTTGTAATACAAGTCAGCCACTCTAGTAGCGTATATGTACAGCTTTAACTGTATCCCTATTTTCCCCAAACTAAATGTGCAAAGTTGATTCAAATTAGAGGTGACCAGGACATGAGTGTGTCCTAACAGGGTGAGGCCTGACCAGGTTGCACAGCTAACTGGTCATTCTGGGCAAGACGCAGCGACAAGGGCAGTATCCTTCCTCTATGACTGTCAGGGTATACAGGGCTGTGTGGTGATCAGTTTCCATTTCTACAGCAGTTGGGTTGAGGCACTCAGCAGATGCAGTTTGCATGCCAACAAGAACCATTGACTAACTGGAATGTTATCTCAGCCTGAATGATTCTGGAAGGTTATCTCTGCCTAAATGATGCAGGGGATACTCCAGTAGTGGAATAGTTAGGCGTCTGGTTGTGAAGGAGAGTCTATGAAATTGCTGTCAAAAACAGACCTGCCCTTAGATCTTTCCAACACCTAATTGACCTGTGGCTGGAGTTATTTATGTTGAATATGGCAAAAAGTCCTTAATGTGGCATATACTTTTATATTCCTTTGGAAGTCAGGTAGAGTGATTATTTGGCCGATATTTACTGTGGGTAGTTGGTTGTGATTACGGTCTGGGGCAGGCCAAGGAGGAGATGAGGAGAGTGACATAACCTGTGAGGGTGACATCAGGTTACCTAGAGGTTACTTAGAGTGTAGGTCATAGACTGCGACTATGAAGCATTGGTCATGAGGGACGTAGCACAGCTCCACACACATATACACTCAAAGATGATCCCTGGGCTTTGATGGAAAGTAAAGGGGTTGCAGAGGTGGTGGAACTGATCAAGCAGAGACCACTATCTCACAGTCAATCCCCAGCCACCATACACGATCACATACAGCATCTTTGTTTAAGTTTGACCGTCCTAAAGGGCCTCTTGTTTGCCATAGATGGCATTATGCCCTTATATGTTGGGATTACTGAACAGTTTCCCACGCCAATGCATTAGTCACCACAGCATGAGAGCTCATTCTTCACATACAAGTCCAGTTCAGGTGTCATATGAGCTGGCCAGCCCTGGGTGGTAGCAAAATAGGTGCATATGAGGGCAATGCATGCCGACAGTTTCCAGATGGCATTTTGGCTGTTGAATGGCCTCCTGACATGTGGCAGTCCAGTTCCATGGTTTCTCTGTCTCTAGTAACTGCCAGAGAGGGGACTGATGGTGGAGTGGGCCTATCGAGGATAGTTCTGGGAGATTCAGGATGGCATTGACATTGGAGAGGTGTGTTGGTTCAATGTGGTGAACACCTGCCTTATGCGGTTGCATCCCAATGTCACTAAGTCAACATGTACGGCAACTCCAGGGAAGACTGGGAGATTCAAGATGGCATTGACATTGGATAGGCAGAATTCCTATGATGTGAAGGCCCACTAAGTTGATGGCATTTCTTGTCAATGAGTGTCAGGTTGTGTGGATTCATTGTAGTGAACACCTGCCTAATGCGCTTGTCATCATGTGTGGTTGAATCCTCCCCATACACCATAATATCACCAAGTCAACATACAGCAACTCCAGGGCAGACAGCCAGGAGGGTGGACAAGACTTTTGGAAAAAATAAATATGCCAGTTCAACCCAAACAGCATAGGAGTGCACCAGAACATCCCAATGCGCATCATAAATGCAGTGAGCCAGCAGAAGGTCATGTTGGATTCAGGCAGCCGTATCGGACTAGCAATGAATCAAAGCTTACTTCTAAATAATAAGGTGACTTAAAGTGATTTAAGAGCCCAATCCTGGAGGCACAAGTTATACCACAGTTGGTATACCGCAAGTTGTAGAGCTAGGGAGAGGGTGCCCATGGTTCTCTTTTCTTTCGTTGGAGCCTCTGAGTTGCCTCATTGATCCTCAGATGCTCGTAACTTGGAATACTTGGTGTTGCCATGCCAAGAAGTCTGCTTCCTTTTTTATATCCAGACAAAGGTGTTTGAGTGTAATTATGGCAGGCGTATTGGATTACCAACATGGTTGAATTACACTAAAATAGTACAGGTCATAAGTACCGTACACAAATCTGAAAGATCTAAAACATGTACAGTGAGGGAAAAAAGTATTTGATCCCCTGCTGATTTTGTACGTTTGCCCACTGACAAAGAAATGATCAGTCTATAATTTTAATGGTAGGTTTATTTGAACAGTGAGAGACAGAATAACAACATAAAAATCCAGAAAAACACATGTCAAAAATGTTATAAATTGATTTGTATTTTAATGAGGGAAATAAGTATTTGACCCCCTCTCAATCAGAAAGATTTCTGGCTCCCAGGTGTCTTTTATACAGGTAACGAGCTGAGATTAGGAGCACACTCTTAAAGGGAGTGGTCCTAATCTCAGCTTGTTAACTGTATAAAAGACACCTGTCCACAGAGCAATCAATCAATCAGATTCCAAACTCTCCACCATGGCCAAGACCAAAGAGCTCTCCATGCATGTCAGGGACAAGATTATAGACCTACACAAGGGTGGAATGGGCTACAAGACCATCGCCAAGCAGCTTGGTGAGAAGGTGACAACAGTTGGTGCGATTATTCGCAAATGGAAGAAACACAAAAGAACTGTCAATCTCCCTCGGCCTGGGGCTCCATGCAAGATCTCACCTCGTGGAGTTGCAATGATCATGAGAACGGTGAGGAATCAGCCCAGAACTACACAGGAGGATATTGTCAATGATCTCAAGGCAGCTGGGACCATAGTCACCAAGAAAACAATTGGTAACACACTACACCATGAAGGACTGAAATCCTGCAGCGTCCGCAAGGTCCCCCTGCTCAAGAAAGCACATATACAGGCCCGTCTGAAGTTTGCCAATGAACATCTGAATGATTCAGAGGAGAACTGGGTGAAAGTGTTGTGGTCAGATGAGACCAAAATGGAGCACTTTGGCATCAACTCAACTCGCCGTGTTTGGAGGAGGAGGAATGCTGCCTATGACCCCAAGAACACCCTCCCCACCGTCAAACATGGAGGTGGAAACATTATGCTTTGGGGGTGTTTTTCTGCTAAGGGGACAGGACAACTTCACCGCATCAAAGGGACGATGGACGGGGCCATGTACCGTCAAATCTTGGGTGAGAACCTCCTTCCGTCAGCCAGGGCATTGAAAATGGGTCGCGGATGGGTATTCCAGCATGACAATGACCCAAAACACACGGCCAAGGCAACAAAGGAGTGGCTCAAGAAGAAGCATATTAAGGTCCTGGAGTGGCCTAGCCAGTCTCCAGACCTTAATCCCATAGAAAATCTGTGGAGGGAGCTGAACGTTCGAGTTGCCAAACGTCAGCCTCGAAACCTTAATGACTTGGAGAAGATCTGCAAAGAGGAGTGGGACAAAATCCCTCCTGAGATGTGTGCAAACCTGGTGGCCAACTACAAGAAACGTCTGACCTCTGTGATTGCCAACAAGGGTTTTGCCACCAAGTACTAAGTCATGTTTTGCAGAGGGGTCAAATACTTATTTCCCTAATTCAAATGCAAATCAATTTATAACATTTTTGACATGCGTTTTTCTGGATTTTTTTGTTTTTATTCTGTCTCTCACTGTTCAAATAAACCTACCATTAAAATTATAGACTGATCATGTCTTTGTCAGTGGGCAAACGTACAAAATCAGCAGGGGATCAAATACTTTTTTCCCTCACTGTATATACAGGTGATTAAAACACCATTTAATGGTATTGTGGCAGCCATATTGGATTTTAGACGCCATAATGGATTTGGCCCCATAAAGTAATTGCAAGAGGCTGAACATCCAATCCACTAAGGTACCTTTGATTGAAAATAAATGACAGTTTTCACTATCTCAGCCCGGAGCCGATTAAATTACAGTAGCCATAACAAAAAAACGTGTAACCATTTGTTTTTGTCAGGCAGAACCACACACCACTGAATGAGAGCAAATTTGACTTGGACATTTTTTTATTAATGAGCTACCAAAAAGTAAAGCATACATTCATCATACATATTCATAGTTGATATTTCTGCCTATTCTATCTCAGTGTTTACAGGTATATATTTTCAAGATGCATAATTTTTTGTATTTATTTTTTTACCTTTATTTAACTAGGCAAGTCAGATAAGAACAAATTCTTATTTACAATGACGGCCTACCAAAAGGCAAATGGCCTCCTGAGGGGATGGGGGCTGGGATTTAAAAAATAAATATATATAAATATAGGACCAAACACACATCACAACAAGAGAGACAACACAACACTACATAAAGATAGACCTAAGACAACAACATAGTATGGCAGCAACACACGACAACACAGCAAGGTAGCAACCCAACATGAAAACAACATGGTAGCAGCACAAGACATGGTACAAACATTATTGGGCACAGACAACAGCACAAAGGGCAAGAAGGTAGAGACAACAATACATCACGCGAAGCAGCCACAATTGTCAGTAAGAGTGTCCATGATTGAGTCTTTGAATGAAGAGATGGAGATAACACTGCCCAGTTTGAGTGTTTTTTGCAGCTCGTTCCAGTCGCTAGCTGCAGCGAACTGGAAAGAGGAGCGACCCAGGGATGTATGTGCTTTGGGGACCTTTAACAGAATGTGACTGGCAGAACGGGTGTTGTATGTGGAGGATGAGGGCTGCAGTAGATATCTCAGATAGGGGGGAGTGAGGCCTAAGAGGGTTTTGTAAATAAGCATCAACCAGTGGGTCTTGCGACAGGTATACAGAGATTACCAGTTTACAGAGGAGTATAGAGTGCAGTGATGTGTCCTATAAGGAGCATTGGTGGCAAATCTGATGGCCGAATGGTAAAGAACATCTAGCCGCTCGAGAGCACCCTTACCTGTCAATCTATAAATTACGTCTCCGGAATCTAGCATGGGTAGGATGGTCAACTGAATCAGGGTTAGTTTGGCAGCTGGGGTGAAAGAGGAGCGATTACGATAGAGGAAACCAAGTCTAGATTTAACCTTAGCCTGCAGCTTTGATATGTGCTGAGAGATGGACAGTGTACTGTCTAGCCAAACTCCCAAGTACTTGTATGAGGTGACTACCTCAAGCTCTAAACCCTCAGAGGTTGTAATCACACCGGTGGGGAGAGGGGCATACTTCTTACCAAACCATAAGATATCCTAATGATGTTTGTTTGTGTATGTAGGGCAGACAACTGACTACTTGTATTCCAAATGTTAGCAATATCAGAGCTGCAATATTGGATTACATGAGTTTATGTGGCCCATCCCCCCTCCAGCCAGGCATTATTCTGCACACTTTGAGTTTAGGCGGTGTGTCACAATATCTATCAATTTAACCACTTTTGCAGAAAAATATTTTTAAACAACCATCCATTTCATAAATGGGAGACATTAGAGATGTGAAAAAATATGGTTGTGTTTTGTTTTACCTCGGGTACGGGTATCTCAAAAACTACAGCCCTTGTTGAGCATTGGTCACTAGCCTATTTTGAGGAGTGTACTGTAACTTGGTGATTATTTTATTTTTATGATTATTTTTATTTCACCAGATTTTAACATTCAGTCATAAAGAGCACATGTTCAGCTTAACTAAAAACATGTTTCCATCTCATGAGGTTATTAAGTAAAAAAATGACTATAGTAAGTGCCTATTAAGTACCAAATAAAGTAACAGGGTTGATCGTAACAGGGTGGACGGGGGGAATGGAAGCTTGTTGTGTGTAACAGGGCCTGGCAGTTGAATGCAAGCTTCACCAAAAAATTTAAATTGTGAAAACATTTCCAGCCTATCTATCTACAGTATGGGTAACAGGGTTGACGTGTTATGCCGACCCGCTCAATTTTCTGCCACAAAACACCAGAAAATGGCCAAAAAGAGTAGAACCAGCTCACCTGCTTTGACACTATGATTTGACTATTAGATGTTCAATGTTTCTTTAGAAAAAGTATTATTTAAAAAGGAATGGTTTCACCATATTAAAACGGGAGTTCAGTTCAGGTACCAGGGTTGACCTTAAAATGAGTGACATACAGCGGGGGAAAAAGTATTTAGTCAGCCACCAATTGTGCAAGTTCTCCCACTTAAAAAGATGAGAGAGGCCTGTAATTTTCATCATAGGTACACGTCAACTATGACAGACAAAATGAGGAAAAAAAATGCAGAAAATCACATTGTAGGATTTTTAATGAATTTATTTGCAAATTATGGTGGAAAATAAGTATTTGGTCAATAACAAAAGTTTCTCAATATTTTGTTATATACCTTTTGTTGGCAATGACACAAGTCAAACGTTTTCTGTAAGTCTTCACAAGGTTTTCACACACTGTTGCTGGTATTTTGGCCCATTCCTCCATGCAGATCTCCTCTAGAGCAGTGATGTTTTTGGGCTGTCGCTGGGCAACACAGACTTTCAACTCCCTCCAAAGATTTTCTATGGGGTTGAGATCTGGAGACTGGCTAGGCCACTCCAGGACCTTGAAATGCTTCTTACGAAGCCACTCCTTCGTTGCCCGGGCGGTGTGTTTGGGATCATTGTCATGCTGAAAGACCCAGCCACGTTTCATCTTCAATGCCCTTGCTGATGGAAGGAGGTTTTCACTCAAAATCTCACGATACATGGCCCCATTCATTCTTTCCTTTACACGGATCAGTCGTCCTGGTCCCTTTGCAGAAAAACAGCCCCAAAGCATGATGTTTCCACCCCCATGCTTCACAGTAGGTATGGTGTTCTTTGGATGCAACTCAGTATTCTTTGTCCTCCAAACACGACGAGTTGAGTTTTTACCAAAAAGTTATATTTTGGTTTCATCTGACCAAATGACATTCTCCCAATCCTCTTCTGGATCATCCAAATGCACTCTAGCAAACTTCAGACGGGCCTGGACATGTACTGGCTTAAGCAGGGGGACACGTCTGGCACTGCAGGATTTGAGTCCCTGGCGGCGTAGTGTGTTACTGATGGTAGGCTTTGTTACTTTGGTCCCAGCTCTCTGCAGGTCATTCACTAGGTCCCCCCGTGTGGTTCTGGGATTTTTGCTCACCGTTCTTGTGATCATTTTGACCCCACGGGGTGAGATCTTGCGTGGAGCCCCAGATCGAGGGAGATTATCAGTGGTCTTGTATGTCTTCCATTTCCTAATAATTGCTCCCACAGTTGATTTCTTCAAACCAAGCTGCTTACCTATTGCAGATTCAGTCTTCCCAGCCTGGTGCAGGTCTACAATTTTGTTTCTGGTGTCCTTTGACAGCTCTTTGGTCTTGGCCATAGTGGAGTTTGGAGTGTGACTGTTTGAGGTTGTGGACAGGTGTCTTTTATACTGATAACAAGTTCAAACAGGTGCCATTAATACAGGTAACGAGTGGAGGACAGAGGAGCCTCTTAAAGAATAAGTTACAGGTCTGTGAGAGCAAGAAATCTTGCTTGTTTGTAGGTGACCAAATACTTATTTTCCACCATAATTTGCAAATAAATTCATAAAAAATCCTACAATGTGATTTTCTGGAAAAAGAATTCTCAAGAATTCACATTTTTTTTCCTCATTTTGTCTGTCATAGTTGATGTGTACCTATGATGAAAATTACAGGCCTCTCTCATCTTTTTAAGTGGGAGAACTTGCACAATTGGTGGCTGACTAAATACTTTTTTCCCCCACTGTATATATATTTTTAACTTAAAATGAATCTCTAATCACATTAACAAAATAATAATCTTCAGAAAGTACTTTGTAAAAGCAACAAAATAACTAGCTAGGGCTTTACAATGATGGTGAAAACCTGGAGAAATGTTGTGGTAATGGGTTCAAATCTTCGTAGAAGTCACAGAGGATGCACAGAGGGACATGTCAAGATGTAGAATTTTGGCACTTTAGCAAGTCTTTATTCATTTGAAAAATCAGATGTATATAATTTCCATGTGGTCTATTTTAAAGGGCACTTCATTTAATATAACAGGCTTTTATATTATAGGCACAATTTCTACTTAAAATAATCAAAGGCACTCATTTCGTGGAACGACCCAGCTGCGGAAGAAAGGTAGACAGACAAAAATATACTTTAAATCATGGGTCGGTAATGTCCAAAACTGGATTGCGAGTGATTTATTTTGTCCCCCTTAAGATTTTAGAAAAAAATTGACAAATAAATAATAGTAATTGTTAAATCACCAGGAATTCAGCTAAAAATGTGTTTAATTTAGGAAAATCTGTTCTCAAGTATTCCCACAAATAAAAAAATAGATATGTGATCGTGTATCAATGTAGTTAAGGTATGAAACTATTGTTATTTTCAAATACAATCTCTTTTTGGGCTTAGTTGTGGTCAATTTGCAGTGTACAAATTATTATAATTATGTTCCGCCCCTCCGACCATTCGCTCTGACAAAAATCTGGCTGCGGCTGAATCTAGTTGCCTACGCTGCTTTAAATTCTCAGTTAATCATATCCACCCCTGTCATCTATATGCAAATGACACCATCATCTATAGCACTGCTCCCACGCTAGATGTGGCATTTCTCAAATTGCAGAAAGCGTTTAATTTTGTCCAACATAACCTCTTTCAGCTCAAATTGGTCATAGATTTACAGAAAACCAAACTAATGGTATTTTTAAGAACAAGAAAGCAATACCCTACTCTGCCTCAGATAGTCACTTTGCAAAACAAGCCAAATACTTGGGATTTCACCTTGATGAAACTCTGTCTTTTAAGCTCCACATTCAACAGCTCACTAAAAAGCCTAAACGTAAGCTGGCATTTTTCTTTAGAAACAAGTCTTGTTTTTCATTTCAAGCTAGAAAAGACCTTGTTGCAGCCTTTTTTTTGCCTTTGTTTGTCTGAGGTGATATTCTGTACATGAATGCCCTGGGGTCTTACCTGCACACACTAGATACACTTTACCATGCTGCTTTAAGATTAGTAAACAACACAACATCTCTTACACATCACTGTACCTTATATCAGTTAGCAGGATGGCCATCCCTAACTGTAAGGTGACAGGCTCATTGGTAGGCCTACATGTTTGTCTATAAATCCATTTTAGGGCAGCTGCCAATATATTTAAGCACTTTACTCACCCAACAGAGTCATGGACATTACCGTCTGAGATCACAGAACTGTATTTGAAATAATGTTCCCAACACAAGAACAGAGTTTGGTAAGAGTGCTTTTAGCTTTGCTGCCCCATCATCTAGGAACACTTCGCAAAAGGACTTAAAACAAGATCATTTCATTCTGATTTATGATTTTAAATCCCAGATTGGAGGGCTGTTGACCATAGATTGCACATTAAACCTGCTCTTTTAAGTTATCTTATGCACTTCCATTCATAGTAGCTTTATGTTGTGTTGTGTTGTGTCGAGTGGTGTAGTGCTATTCTTTTAGATGAGGGAGCGCAAAGTTACATTTTCTTTGACATCATAATTTCCTCAATCAAAGTTTGTACTGACAGATGTAGCCAATTATATAATAATATAATATAGAATATGCATAAAATGCATCCTCCAATTGCAATGTCTGCCTATGCCTACACATAATGTCTCAATACATTTTAGAATTTGTAATACTCTCAAACACCAAGTTAGGTATAGGCTACCAAATTGGTGCATTCACCTTATGATAGCCAGTGGGACAACCACTTTACACCATTGGGGAACAAGTCATCACTGTCAATCGTGAATGAAAATGGGAATTTAATGGGAATATGCATTTAGATTGTCTTGAATGACTGTTTCGTGAGTGAATAAGAGCAAATGGTGTTTACAAACTATTAGCCTTTCTTGTATTTTGTTTCAATCAAACCATATATTCTGCCTAGTGGCGCACTCTGTTGAGTTTTGGCGCATGAGAAAAAGAATGTGACTATTCAACTTCAGCTAACCATCCTAAAATATCATTAGACATGAGGAGGTGTTTTTGGTGTAACAGTAACGTTATAGGCCTACTATGCTATGGTATTATATTTGGTTCTGTTATGTAAAATGCAAATTCATCATTATGTGATCTTGCGAGACACTGATTCAGATTTGATCTCTAACTTTACTAAAAGTTAAAAGGAAACTCCCCAAATACAGGTGTGCCAAGCATACAGAAGAAGTCTCGAGGCTGTAATGTCTGCCAAAGGTAGTCAAGGGTCCGAATACTCATGTAAATGTGGTATTTCAGTTATTATTATTTTTGGGGTGTCACGCCCTGACTCAGGGGATGTTTATTTGTTGAGTCAGGGTGTGTATGTTCCGTGTTAAGGTATGTTGTGTTGTGCTGCCTTGGACTTCACGTATCGTTTGTTTATTGTTTTGTCGTTGTGTTTATTCGTTAATAAACATGTATGCATATCATGCTGCGCCTTGGTCTGACCCGTCTATAAACGATCGTGACAGAAGATCCCACCAAACGAGGACCAAGCAGCGTGCCCAGGAAGAGCGAATAGCGATGTCACAGGTGGGCAAATGGTGGTCATGGGAGGAGATATTTGCAGGGAAAGGGCCATGGGCAAAGGTAGATGCCCAGGCAGGAGAGGAGCAACGGCAGCACAGAGGAAGCCGGTCGAGGAAGAAGCCAGAGAGACAGCCCCAATAAAAAATGTTGGGGGGGGCTAAGAGGGTGGTTGGCGGAGCCTAGTGTTAGAGCAGAGCCAACTCCCCGTACTCACGCGAGGACGCGTGTGACTGGGCAGGCTCCATGTTATGCGGAGCTACGTACTGTGTCGCCAGTGTGCCGGCACAGTCCTGTACGTCCTATGCTAGCACCACGCACGTGTCGTGCGAAGATGGGCATTCAGCCAGGACGGGGTGTGCCGGCTCAACGCTCCTGGTCTCCAGTACGCCTCCTCGGTCCCGCATATCCTGCGCCTGTTCTACGAGCTATATCGCCAGTGCGCGTGCACAGCCCAGTGCGTCCTGTGCCAGCGCCCCGCATGTGTAGTGTGAAAGTGGGCAGCCAGCCAGGACGGGTTGTGCCAGCTCTCCGCTCCAGACCTCCAGTCCGCCTTCGCAGTCCGGTCCGGCCCGTTCCTGCTCCTCGCACCAAACCAGTGGTGCGTGTTCCCAGCCCGGCCCGGCCTGTTCCTGCTCCTCGCACCAAGGCAGTGGTTCGCGTCGCCAGCCCGGTCCGGCCTGTTTCTGCTCATAGCACCAAGCCAGTGGTGCGCGTCGCCAGCCCGGCCCGTTCCTGCCCCTCGCACCAAGCCAGTGGTGCGCGTCGCCAGCCCGGTCCGACCTGTTCCTGCCCCTCCCACCAAGCCAGTGGTGCACGTCGCCAGCCCAGCCCGGCCTGTTCCTGCTCCCCGCACCAGGCCAGTGGTGCGCGTCGCCAGTCCGGTACGGCCCGTTCCTGCTCCCCGCACCAAGCCAGTGGTGCGCGTCGTCAGCCCGGTCCGGCCCGTTCCTGCTCCCCGCACCAAGCCAGTGGTGCGTGTGTCCAGTCCGGCATGGCCCGTACTTGTTCCACCGGTGCCTGGTCCGGCACCGGTCAGCTGCTCCACTCCGGAGCCAGAGCAGTCCGCTCCACCGGTGCCCAGTTCAGCTCCGGTCAGCTGCTCCACTCCGGAGCCAGAGCAGTCCGCTCCACCGGTGCCCAGTTCTGCTCCGGTCAGCTGCTCCACTCCGGAGCCAGAGCAATCCGCTCCACCGGGGTCCAGTCCAGCTCCGGTCAGCGGATCCACTCCGGAGCCAGAGTAGTCCGCTCCACCGGTGCCCAGTTCAGCTCCGGTCAGCTGCTCCACTCCGAAGCCAGAGCAATCCGCTCCACCGGGGTCAAGTCCAGCTCCGGTCAGCGGCTCCACTACGGAGCCAGAGCAGTCCGCTCCACCGGTGCCTGATCCAGCTCCGGTCAGCGGTTCCAGTCCAGACCCAGACGTCAGCCTCTCTCCAGGTTCGGGGTCTCCCACACCATGGTCCAGACAGGGCTTGGTACTTCGTGGGAGGAAGGAGAGGGGAAGCAACGCGCCGAGGTCCAGACCTGACCAGGGGCGCAACAGGGAGGCGGAGAATAGGTGGTGGTCACGCCCGGAGCCGGATCCGCCTCCGAGGCGGAATGCCCACCCGGCCCCTACCCTGTTATGTTTATGTGGCGCGGTCGGAGTCCGCACCTTTGGGGGGGGGGTACTGTCACGCCCTGACTCAGGGGATGTTTATTTGTTGAGTCAGGGTGTGTATGTTCCGTGTTAAGGTATGTTGTGTTGTGCTGCCTTGGACTTCACGTATCGTTTGTTTATTGTTTTGTCGTTGTTTTTATTCGTTAATAAACATGTATGCATATCACGCTGCGCCTTGGTCTGACCCGTCTATAAACGATCGTGACATGGGGTGAAAATTGCACACAAAAAAACTGCTTTTGCTTTGTCATTATGGGGTATTGTGTGTAGATTGATGAGGGGAAAAAACAATTTAATCAATTTTAGAATAAAGCTGTAACATAACAAAATGTAGAAAAAGTCAAGGGGTCTGAATACTTTCCGAATGCACTGTACCAAGCTAAAACGGGCCCTGTGTAGGCTAAATATCCCAAGGATGGCTACAGCAACTTCCAGAGAGGGGCAGGCTCCATGGTCTTTGCGGTGGCCACTCTGGTTTGGGTGTCCTCGGCAGAACGATGTTGTCATAAGTAATTGGTCACATAGTTCTGGGTTCCACTTCGCAAGAGGGGGTCCGTGGAGTTTTATGAACATAAAGGCAGACACACAGTGAATTTTGATTTGTATTCAATGTTCTGATTGGCTAAAGTGGTCAAGCCTCCGAATGGCCTCCGCAGTGCACACACACCTATAGTTCTTCATCATTCTCGCCACCATCAGAAAAAAGACGGGGAAGAAATCACCATTTACCTACCTCTAGGCTACTATACATATTTATTTGGTTTGTCATCCTATTATTTTTCATGGAATTTTAGTGGTAATTAAATATCATTTATTTAAAATGTATCCAAATTAATTGTCCAGAAATAGGTTTCCCAGCTCCGTGTATTCTCAAATTGAAAAAAGTGAGCAGCTCCTCCGCGTTCCGGCAGCACTACACCCCTGGTTGTGTCTCGTGTAACTATATGTATGTGGCTTTCTTTGCCAGGGCTTGGAAAATAGATGTAAATCTCAATGTGGTTAAATAAAGGATAAATACAATTTTGTAAATAATAATCTCCCCCTGTAGGACCGCGCCCCATACCCCAACAAACGGCTCACCGCCACCACCACCCTGACCGTAGACGTGCTGGACGGGGATGACCTGGGGCCTATGTTCCTGCCCTGCTCGCTGGTCGACAACACGCGTGACTGCAGCCCCCTCACCTATCGGGCCCACATCCTGGAGCTCACTGACCCAGTAAGTGTTACTGCAGACCAGCCCCAGCTCTAGAACCCCTGCTGAGTAGAAACATTTTACATGTCGCTCTATTCGAACAGGGCTGCTTGAGAGGCAGCTCACTCCTCAGCGCTGGGGAGAGAGGTAGCTGAGAGACAGCTTGGTTTCTCTGGCCTCTGTTTGCATGTCAGCCTCAGGAGCCATTTATGTCAGCAGCATGGCTGCGCTCATATTAATATTAAACACAAGGCTCAGTGTGATTTCTGTGTTTTTAAGCTAATTTCCAAGATTATGGCTTTGAATACACAGGGCTATTCGATTTATGATAGTGATAGATTTATGCTAGAGTTATGGGTAGTGGTATATTTAATGTATTGGTTATGGATAATCATCATGATGATGCAAATTCAAATGATGAGAATGACTATGAATATTAGAGATGCAATAGTTTTTTTTTGTGATCACATTTTAAAAATTGTTATTGGTAAGACAGGCACACATGGACAAAGAAACAAGTGACAAGACAGAACAAGACAAACATTTCTCCTCTGACCCCATCCCACAGGACTTCCCCAACCCAGAGTAAGATGAGTAATTCACAATAGCTATTGTGAATGCATTGTAGCGTTCTATACAGATGACAGACACTTCTTATGATTGGAGGAATCATGTTGACTTGTCAGAGGTACTGTATAAATGAATGTGTATGGAAGTAATTTAGACTAGATTAGATTTATACTCCAAACATTTATACTCCAAACAGCGTGTTTTCTCATGTGGAATGATTATCAACATATCTCCTTGTCAGTTCCATAGATTTGTCTTCACTGATCTAGGTAGGCAGTCTCTCTTGATCAGAGTAAAAGGCAGAGTCAGGGAAGCATGGAAATGCTAGAATTACAAGACAGATAATTCACAGGTAATTCGTTTTACACTTTGGGCTCTCGTACCTTGAGTGGAATCACTGATTCATTTAAATTGTTACTAATCAAAATGTAAAATGGATACTCACAGAAACAAGGAAAATTATTTTTTCCAGGCAACCCCATTAAATTGCCTTGGCGCTTCAATTAATCTAGAAAAGTATGGTTATTATCACTCATGACTTGAATGCACCCGGCGATTGAATCCCAGACTGCAAAAAAACAAAAACCTTGAGTAGTACTGCAATACAGGCCAATGTTATTGTTGGTCCATTCCATTGACACTATCAAGCAACATTTTTGCAGAAATGTACAGTTACAGGTCAAACTATGACCTTGAGACGGCAGTGATACACAAAGAGCCTCACCAAACACAGTGTACTAAAACTGAATTTGCTTACGTTGAGATCCTTCCACACTCTGCAGCCAAATGACAGAACAAGGTAACTGGAGCCTTCCATTAAGTTTACGCCAGCTAGAACGCACTCAAGGACACATTTTACGAGTGCTGTGAGAGGCGACATTATGTGAGGGGCCCTGATTCTGATTGTGTATGTGGTGGCGATGCCAACATAACCTCTCATCAGGTCTTCAATACACCCCCACCTCCTCCTGCCAAGGATGCCATCCCCATCAATCCCATCACTCATGGGGCTAGTTCACATTCACATGCGTCGTGATGAAGTCCTGTTATATTCCTCTTGTCTCTCTCAGACATCCTCTCAATTGTATCAGGGAGCTCAAACTAGCTCTATCTCCTAAACGCGCCTCTCATATCTCCTCCGCCGGTGCTTGACGAAACATTTAAATAAGGCTTCAACTTATTTATTTAGGCTCAGTACCACTCAAGTAAAACTAAACTTGTGATTGGAGGGGAGGAGGAGGGAGAGATAGCGAAACAGCTGATAGTCCAGATCGTAAAAACTCCTTTAGCTGTTTGTCACAAAGTTACACTTCTGCTTCACACAAGCGTCTCCTTTCATGGTACACTTAGTTTGAAAGACAGTATCTCAGCCGAGGATCCAGGACACAGTGAGACATTCTGGGGAGCAGGAGCCATGGACCGGCCCTCGAGTCCCAGGGAGAATGCTCATAAATAGAGGAGAGGAGAGTGGAGCAGTGGAGGCTGGTGGGAGGAGCTATAGGAGGACGGGCTGATTGTAATAGCTGGGATTGAATAAATGGAACGGAGTCAAACATGGTTTCCATATGTTTGATGTGTTTGATACCATTCCATTATTCCATTCCAGCCATTACAATGACCCATTCTCCTATAGCTCCTCCCACCAGCCTCCACTGGAGTGGAGGTACTTTCCCCAAGACAAACTGATCACTCCGCCTTTTTATATCCCTCCATAGCAGAGAGCTAGTGAGCCTCTCCGGAGCAGTAATAACATAAAAAGGTCAAACCAAGTAAGCTGAAGTGATGCTCCAATGCTGTTTCCTCTGTAAATTCTACCAATTTGCTCCCCCACCCATACGCAGCAGCACTCTGGACATCCTCTGTGGCTAGTGTTGGTAGAATCTAACATACCATCAGAGCTGAGATATCAGATTAGAAATACAGCACTGAGGGGACAGTGGGTAAGATACTGCTGGTGTCTGTTGACAATTACAACAGGAGGCTTTGAAAGTGTTAAATAATAATAATATGCCATTTAGCAGACGCTTTTATCCAAAGGGACTTACAGTCATGTGTGCATACATTTTTACGTATGGGTGGTCCCGGGGATCGAACCCACTACCCTGGCGTTACAAGCGCCATGCTCTACCAATTGAGCTACAGAGGACCAAGTGTTGAACCCCAGTGTTGAGTGGAGCGTAATTGTTTTGTTTGTGACTGGTGTGTATAAAATGGAAAGGAAAGTAGGCTGCATGTAATGAATTAATTCACTGGCTAATTTATTCCCTGGCTGAAATTTAAAGCTGGAATAAGATGTAGCTAATAATGAAGACGTGAACAGACAAATAATTCAAATCTAAGATTTAAGTAATTTGTTTTGCTAAACTGTGTTTCACATGAGTAATTAGCCGTTTTGAACACAGGTGCTGATATCATATGCATATCTGTCAAAATATGCCAGATACAGAGTCTTTTAATGTAAGTTCTTTATCAGTGTTCACCATGTATCATAGAGGAATCTGGAAGCTGCTCAGCATTTAATTGGATGGTTGGGTTCATCAGAGTAGAGCATCTTTTGGCATGTCCTCCTGTGGTTGAGGGGGAGTAGAGGAGTGAGCAAAGGGCTGCCATTTGTTCGTTACACCATCACAGATCACACCCCTGCAGAGAATCCATCCTCGTTAATTACAGTAATAAAATCTTCCCGTGCTTCAAGAGCCAATTTTCCTGTAGTTCAGCCTTTAAAACGGCCAGCTAACGTTCAGTCAACCATTGATTATGGGCCACGGATGTTGAACGGAGCAGAGGACCCTGTCCGGTCTGCCGAGGAGGAATCGTTATGTTGTCATTCAGATCAAAGTAAACACATTAATTTGGCATCATGCCTAGTTGTGTATCTCAGTCACATGAAAGATTAATTTGTATTACACACTAAAGACGAATGGTTCGATATAACGGGTTATTTGGCTTGTAACCATAGCAGAACCCTTTTTGGTGCTATATGGAACCTTTTTTTGAAGGTTCTATAAAGAACCATGCTCATCAGGTTCTAAATGGAACCTGCATGGTGCTATACAGCCTGATACCAGTGATGGTGTAGGCCCAAATCAGCATGTTGTTTGTCCAACAGTTTCTTCTAAATCAAAGAGGAATAGGTGAAGCTATGGTTACATGCCACAGAACCCGTTAAATAGAACCATTCGTCTTTAGTGTGGGGCTATATTGAATCATACAAACACATTTATTTTTTACCATTGAGATTCGAAATCCATGTAATTAGTACACTGCTCCACCAGGATGGAGCTAGCATGCCATGTTTTTTACACATACAAAGCTGTTAATTTTAGTCTATTCAAACAGACCCATTTCAAAGGAAACAAGCACTCATTAAGATCAGGTGTGGACAATTAGTGGGTGTGGCAAACACACCTAAACACACTTAACAAGATAGAGGATAGAGAGAGTTTTGTTGATACTGAGAATGGAATGTATGTTTTTTTATAACATTCTTAGAACGTTCTTTGAACGTTACTAAAGTTTTGTGTGTTCTTTATGGAACATTTTCTTAATGTTCTCAGAACAATTTGAGAAAATTACTTTAAATAGAACCATGAGGAAACCTTTAGGAAATGTTATGCTGAAATAGGGCTTGGCGATATGGCCAAAATATCATATCACAATATTATTTACATTTTTTATGGTATTTTATGTTTTTGAATAATACAAGTTATAAATTTGCTTTATTAGTGCATGACCCTAGGGTGACAACACATATATTCTAAGAGATTTCAATGGGGCTTTCTCCATTCTGATTGTTTTATACTGTTCAATCAATAATTCATCATTTTCAGCAATTTCTGCATTTTCAGCACTCATTTGAGATCATTTCCACACTGCCACGTAGGGCTGCACGAAATGGGCAAGAAATCGAGGCCTTTTACAAAATAGTGCAATTGCGATTTTACTTGTGATTTAGATCAAAACACTTGTGTGAACTGTTGGAATCATGGAAATAGAATGATTATTCTAATTCTATAGTTAGAATATAATAGCGGGCACTTTGAATACAGTGTTGTTTGACATGATAACGAATGAAAAATCCAGGAAGGAGTTATTGTGACAGGGTAAGAATCAAAGTGTTGGTCATGGTTTCCTAGGGGACCCTATAATCTTTGGCTACGTTAAATGTTTTCTCTCTTAGCTACTTGAAGTAGCTAACATATTCATGCTTCACCTATTCCTCTTTGATTTAGAAAAAACTGTTGGACAAACAACATGCTGATTTGGGCCTACACCATCACTGGTATCAGGCTGTATAGCTAGCTACGTTTGCTCTGACTCAGTACATTTATTAGCTAGCTAGCCAGCTAACTAGCGATTAGCATTAGGGGTTAAAGCGATTTATTTTAATCACAACTTGCTAAGAAAATACTTAACTGTTTGCAGAGAGTAAGATACACAAACTAATAGTGTAATTATAGAACGCTGGTGGATTTACACTGAGTGTA